CTTCTTATAATTCCTGTAAGCTCGCTGAATAACTGTTGCATAGAAATTTTCAAAGCTATAATTATAGTAGTATTTAGAAATCAAGAATCCCCAAGAACGCTCCATTGATCTTCCTGAATTTTTTGAGAAAAAAATCAATATGTTATGTAATGTATGATCCAATAAGTGAAATTATATAAATAGTTATATACATGAATTTTCTATGCATTTTTTCGCACAGAATCGAAATATTCGTTAGCATTAATCAAGACTTGGCTTCTCTCAAATCTATAGGTCAAAATCTCTGATGCACTTGCAATACGTCATATAGTGTATCTATCAAAGCCACTCATTAACGCAACAGGCTTTGGTGGCAAAGGAGGAGGGGTCAATAAAACGTGGCTTATCTGTCCAAGCTTCCCTATAGGAACAGTGTCTCTGGTATTAGACAGGCTTTTTTTCGGGAAAGGAGAAGGTGTTAAGAAAGTATTAATCATACAGATATTTTTTTGCTGGTTATAAATATAGTGAGGCTTGCTAGGCGTAGTGTTTACATTACTTTGCACCTTATGCTTTTGCCTGATACGTCGAATCCTATTTGATACATTTTCCAACCACATCTTATATCGATGGATTGCCTTCTTTGTGAAATAGCAAGGTGGAGGATTATCTTTCAACTTCATGTAGTCTTCGAAGCTCATATCACAATATTCATTTCCAGTGCAATTTGTACGCCAATGCTTGTCCATAAAGAATGCATGAAAATACTCGTATCCATTTCCTAATTTGGAATAGACGAGCTGATTGCAAGAATAGCATATTCCTATATTTACTCCGAACCAAATGTCACACGTATACAAATATTTTGGTTTTCTGGCGATAAGATATCTCTTATTAGGATCAGTTAAAAGATGATTTTTTCTATAAACCATTAATGTGTCCCAAATTCGCTTCTTCCAATCTGATGGAGTCTCATTCCCACGAATCCTTGGAAAATCGTAGTTAACATGCGAATCAGTTATACTTAAATGTACAAAGGGGTCAGAATATACCATATTTAGCCGAAGTGCTGTGTAATGATTATACGCAATATACTGATTTTTATTGATTTTATTGATTTATAGCTGATTTAAGCAAGATTATACTCTACTAAATCCGAATTCATTTTTACTTAGCCGGGAATGAAGGGTATGGGAATATTGCAGGCCTGAGGATTTATATAGAGACATATGCTAATTTTATATTCACATGCAATGTAAATTGATTCGCAGTCATAAGAGAGTAACAAGGATGTGCCTGATCGCTCTTATACGCATGATTCTAAGACATCAACAGCTTCCTACAATCAGGAAGTAGATATATATTCGTCATATACAGCTAAAATCATATGAAAACACCACACCTTATATGCTAGTAAAAGTTTTTATTAATATATCTACACATTACATAAAGCAGTTACATACACTTTTTTAATCCTATTTCCTTCGTGTTATTATTGTGTTATAGTAATCATCAAGAAAAAAATATATAGTTTTTCCGACCCTGAAGACTGGCGAAAGGCTGGCGTGTGTAAGATAAAGGCATTATGGCATTTGTATAATTTTTCTATAAAATATAGTCCGTTATTTTTTGTTATTTTTTTGGGGAGAGTTGTCTGGTACACTTATCCAATTTTGTACACGATCAGTTTCGTTATTGTTTAAAACATTTTCCTTTGACATCTTACTCTTTACATCTTGCCGATTAATAAGGAGCTCCTATAATAGAAAATAGAATAGTTGATCAACCGAATAAATCTTAAATGAGATATTTTATGCTAGAAAATAATGTAATACCTCCAAGAGGGCACCAAATTTTGCAATATCAAATAAATTCCATCCTTCAGAATAAGATGTAGGTATTCTAAAACTAAATACCTCGTAAATTCTGTATGTTTTAATACGGATAATATCTGTTACATATACCGAAACATTATATTCTAAAAAAAGACAAAACTTAGCTAGCCAGTATGTAAATAAAAAGAATACATCATGTGTACAAAAAAATACTTACTGTATCCATGAATACTCACGGATTTAAAGGTCTTTGCAGTGGCAGTAGTACAATTGGCATATCGTGTGAAATAGTAATTCAAATCATCAACACTATTACGTGCAAGCTTAGAAAAATCTCCAAGATAATGTGAAAATGTGTATTCTTTTGGGCTATAAGATTGTTCGTATATAATAGTTGCTGACTTGTCTTGATATATAACTGCATCGTTCTTAGGGACACATCCACTATTAGATGGCTTTTGATCATAGTTGATATTGTATGTCCTATCATTATGGGCCTCATTATCAATTTCGCCACTATAACCAATAAAAACATAAAATTGTAAAAGATATCATTAAAAAGAAAGGGGAAAATGCATATAATACATACAATTCTTTTCCTGATACAATTTTGCTAAAAAAAACCGAAAATAAGTCTAATAATCGGTAAATAGTTTGAGTAGACCATGTTTTCTCATTACAATCATCTTGCAAACCGTCATAATGGTAGTATAGAATGAAATGACGGGAAACTTCTCTTGCCCATAACAATAATGGACTTGGATTATCAATAAGCGGTTGATCCAACTTGCCCAACGCACTTTTAATATCACCATCAAGTATTCTCTCAAGATATTGCTTGACATCGTCAGGAAGACTTGCTGTTATATTGATACCACAAGCTATTTGATTGTATAGCTCCTCAGCGTCTAACATTGAAAGCTTAATAAAAGGCTTAATGAGTGGGTAAATCTGTCGACTCCTTAACTCTAAAAAAATTTCTTTTTCAGTATTGATTTTTTTCCCACCCTTAACCTAAATAACAACGATGTCACTTGTTAAAAAAGTATGATATAAGTAAACTTGGCAGTATTTTAAAAATTAACATACAGTATTAGTATATGTTGGTGCTTTGTTAGCAGGTTTTTGGCTATCAGCTTTTGTTTTGATCTGTGATTAATGCAAAAGAAAAAGAACAGCGTGCTCAATACCCCTAAAAATTACAATAACTCATACTTAGTAGTAAACCTGTTTTCATGGTTCATACCTGGTTGAATTTTTCATTGTTAGTAATAGGCTGAAATTTTCCAAGATCAGCCTCAAGTTGTTCGTCGAGATCTTGTGGTTGAGAATAGATCCGATCTTTAGGGTCCGAGATCGAACGAGTCCGCGAGAAAAAGTTCCGAATATCTGGTCCTTCCATTGAACTTTCACTAGAAAGTGTCTTCTAAAATTTGAAAATCAATGTTCATAAATAAATCATGATGTTGCATTTCATAGATCGTGACGATCTCACCTTTATTAATTGAGTTGAAGCTCTTTCCGTTTCTTCATCTCGAGGGCGTTTTTTCAAGGTTGTACGACGATTATCGATATTTTGTGTTGAAGAATCTCCGGCCAGACTGTTGAGTTGATTTATAGTCCTTACCTAATTGATAAAAATCATTGATTTATCCTTTATCATATAGATTTTCAGACTAGAAGAAGCTTACCCGCATATTCACGCGAGGCACGCCATCCTTATTTATAAAGCCGTCATACGATGCACTCCAATCCTTGAAAACAAAGATTTAAATTATATACTTGCGAGAAACATTTCGTAATAAATGCATGTATACCGAGTAAAAGACTAGCTCTTAATTCGTCAAATCCAATGAGTTACCTTCCATTTGTCCAAGATTTCTCGTGCTTTTTCTTTACGGGCCATGTCGAACTCAGAATCAGAACTTGTCACCCTTATGAGATCTTTTTTAATCCAATCCAGTATTTTCTTCCAATCTTTTTTCTCCATTTTTTCACGATAATACTCCACCAGGTTAGTACACGTCCAGTCCTCGATCTTGGTAACATGGTAAAAAGCCAATAAAGCGGGAATTGGATGAGTCATTCTTAATGGAGTTGAAAAATGTTAAAATATGGATTATGTGTCATGTGTGTGTTCTAAGCCACAATGATTTCCAAATGTGTAACAGTGCAACCAGATTTCCAATTTATTGAACGACTGTCGCGACATATCACAACTTATCTAACGTCATGTCTGAACAGCAAGCGCAAGCCGGGACTCTTAGTCTCCGGTGATGAACTCTTCGTTCGACGGCTGGGACTCTTCGTCTAACAAGGATGCCTTACGGCAATGTGACGTTAGCGCAAGCTGGACTCTTTGTCTACAGCTTAGCCAAGCTGGACTCTTTGTCTACAGCTTTTTCCTGATTAAATTAGCGCAAGCTAGGTAAGCTAGACTCTGTCTACAGCTTAGCCAAGCTGGACTCTTTGTCTACAGCTTAGCCAAGCTGGATTCTTTGTCTACAACTTTGTCTTGATTAATTTTTCCGATGTCATGCAAAAAATAAAACGTGGTAAGCAATGGAAATATTGGCACATACACATATTCATTTTTTTGATGTATTGCGAAACTTTATTAATTATTTTTCAGATACATAGATAATCAGAAAATGAAATGTATGATGCTTTCGAGATTAAGTAATTTCGAACCTACAGCATAAATTCGGGAGATTAGCAACTGAGGTAAAAAAATAATACAATAACGATTTACACTTACCATCACGATTCATTTTCACATAATTCCACTCCGCCTCATATACAAGATATTTATTGCTTAATTTTTTCTTCGTTATCGACGGTACGATACTGCGCAAAGTTTCAAGAATTCGGCACGTGAAGATGCTTATGGATTGAAAAATATTGCGCCAGACTTTTTCTGTGCCGTTGCATGTGACGAGAATCATGTGAGTAATGTCACTGCGTCTATTGTACGCGTGATGATGGTCAGTGATTTTCTCGGCGAAGATCAAAATGCCGATATATAACAAGAA